TAATTTATATGACTTTTAAGATAAATTGTACTTAAAATAAATCATAGTATATTTGTATATGAGTATGTAGAGTTGTATAGAGTTGTAGAAATGCATTTTTTTCCTTTTTAATTGACTTCACTTTTAATTGACAACATCTTAAAGCGAATCGTTACAGTCAGAATAGAAAAAAATTCTGATTTAAAAGTGCTTCTCAAGTCACAGGTCTCAAGTCCAAGTCGAGTCACTGACCTTCAAATCCAAGTCGAGTCCCAAGTCTTAGTCCATTTTATCAAGTCAAGTCTCAAGTCCTAAAAATAGTGACTCAAGCCTGACTCGAGTCAAAGTCTCCACCTCTGATTTTTACTACTTTCTACATTTTATATACATACAGAAGAAACAAATATATGAAATAAGATATATGGAGTTACGTAGCAAAGGGAAAAAGGTAAATATACATATACATGATGTGTTGTATGTGGATAAAAGTAGTAGTAAAAATAAAGAAAAGAAAAAAACACTGAATGAGAAATTTCTGACTGGTAATATGTGTTTATTTTCTGAGCTTTTCCCTAAAATGTGGTTCCACTTCATAAATAAACATGTACCCTCTTAACATCCCCCATAAGGAGTCAGCAGCAGACGGTTCATTTGTATTCTGGTCTTGTTAAAACATATTGAAAGGTTTCTCTTCTTGTCGTCGTGATAGACTCCCCATACGCCTATAGCCGCAGTGCCCTGTGTGCTAATACTGTTAGTGTGAATGAGGCCAGCGTGATGGGGTGAGACCAGGACTGAACACTGCTTCAGTATTCTCTGTTCAGCCGAAGTGTGAGGAATGTGCCCATAGTGAGGCATTGTACCAGGACACACACGGAATGACAACTATTCTACGATACAGACACAAACGCAGCAAATTTACAGACAAGAGTAAAAGTAACATTATTTTAAAAGGATAAATACTGTATGTTAAATTGACTTGTATGAGCATGACGAGTTGGATGTCAATTGATTCATGCATGTTGAAGCATTGTCCTGAATTCGAGACTTGAGTCCAAAGTAGGGATGGGCATTCGATGAAATTTTGTTAATCGATCGTCGGAAGAATTAACGATCGATTATCGATTAATCATTAACGTTTTTATATTAAAATGATCATCATTATTATTACTATCTGCACTACTAATCTGTATAAATAAATTCAACTTTACGACATATAAACCGTAACGACTCTAGAGCCACATCAATCCGTTTGACATTATAATGTGTTTAATTCAGTTTTGCGCAACTCTCACAGAAACCGCATGGCTAATTTGCATAAACTCAGCGAAGATAAAACTACAGCTCTTGTGTCGCTGATGTGGTTCAATTTCTGTTGGATTAAAAGACACGACTCAGTGGAATACAGGTTAATGTGACCATATTTGCGTTTGTCAAAACCAGGACACCGTACGGGGGAAGGGAGGTGGGGACTCATCATCGACACTGCGCAACTCTCACCTGGTAAAGCTTTTTCCCACTGGACACCGAAACCTGTGTTCCTGCTTTGTACACTGTGCACATGGACTCACACTTGTCCCGAACGCAACGGAAAGCGTGGAATTTCTTGTACAAGTCATCGTTAAATACGCATATGCACTTCGGTACGTTGCAGGCGGACTGATTGTTTGTGTCTCGCTCCTTCTGAGTGCAGAGAGCTACTTGTATGGACCCCTGTTTGGTCACGCTACGCACAGCAACCTACATTCGGTTTGTCGATTAAAATTTACGTAACCGATGAAATTCTTAATGATCAATTATCGATTAATCGACTAATCATGCCCATCCCTAGTCCAAAGAAAATGACTGTTTTCACGCACCCCCTATCTCCACCCACTGCTCTATGTATAATCTGGATAATACTTATAGGGTTCAACAATGTTACATAGACATTTTTCAACAATAAAACATCAAATCAGCAGCTTCCTACTTCTATTTTTAATTAAAGGTACAAACTTTCTGGAGGTGGGAGGTCACGTCCATGATTCCACTGAAATAGAAAGTTAAAACCATACTTCAGAGCATTCTCCATGGTGATAGAGGCGTTGTATGCCATACTGTTCAATATTATAGCCAATATAATGACATTTCCATGAAAACAAGCAGCTGAAGGCCAGTGAGGTTTGTGGAGATGCAAACCTGTTCACACTAAGAACATGTTTTTCTTAGGCCTTCAGTATAATAAGCAAAATTGGTTTAAAAAGAAAAGCATTTGTTTTTGTATATTTTTTTGTCTAAGAAGTTACATAATGAAGCTTTAAAAGGAAGTCAATGGATCTTTTTCTATTATTAATCCCCTTTAGATCAATATTGCCATGTAAAATGAACAAAATGTCAAACAATTATCGACTTTGTTACAGTTAACACTAAATATGGGATTCAAAGCATAATATTACTTCTTTAAATATTAGAGTTAAAAGGGACACTTTGGTCTTTTGTACAGATAATTTATTTCCAACAGTAAATATTTCTCAACTGGCTCCTGGGTTGAAGCAGGGACAAACGAAGCCACTGAGTCCAAATTGTTTCAAATTGGGCCAATGTAAATTTGACTCAGACCAGGTCTCATGAGGACATTTCCAAGAAGGACTTTTGAAACATGATTTTGTTCTTGCATGGGGCTGATGCAGAGAGAATGACAATAAGTGTCTATTGTCAGAAACCTTGAGTAGTTTAGTAGATTTTAGTTACTTTATTTGGCATCTACAGTTCTGTAACACTTCATACAAACTACATTTTAATTAGTCTTTAGGCTTAGTCACTTAAAACAAATATTTACTAGTTCAAACACATAAATAAATGAGGAAATAGTTCGTTTCAAATAGTTTGCAGTGGTTCAAATCATTCAGAGCATCCTAATTATTCATTATGATGAGTTTTTCACAACTTTCAGAGACCAGAGCGCAGGTCTGTAGTCACAGTAACACTAACAACCACTAGCATGCCAACCACGCACTCATTGATTATTAGACAAATATACTGCTTCGTAATTAGCACGCAGCTGACTTATTTTGACCTCAAGATCTGTTTATAAAATATATCTGTACTGAGACAAATTTTGATTAAATACACAGGTAAATAAGTAAAGACCCCTATAACCTCTTAATTAAGCTGTTACTAAGCCTGAATTATTATATATAAACTGCTTGTTCATTAAGAATTTTGTATTTCTTCATGCTTTAATAAGGCTGATTGAGCTGTAGTCATTATAAAGTTATCACTAAATTTCTAGGTCTTTCCACTATGAGCTGCCATTTAAGACAATTGCTCCTGTCTGCTTCTCCTCACCAAGAATGTGCTGGCAATTACATAATAAAGGGCAGGAGACTTTTGGACAGACTTGTTTAAGCTATAGACATTTATCTCAACACCTATGGCATTAAGTGAGTCAGCACTTAGTTAATTGGAATTTAATTGGTAGAATGTACTTTTACCTAAGTATTGCCTCTATGCACAAGTGGAAGGAGTATTCTCTTTTGAGTCACTGCATTTTGTATTGCTGCCAAATAGCCAGAGCTGCCATGTGGACCTACTCAAAGACTTATATAAGGTATAATTAGGGTTGATAAAAGTTCTGATAATCAGATACAAAATTTTATATTAACTGGAGCTGGTATCAATACTTCTGTCATATTCACGGGACAGAAATGAATCTTTTATTTTTATATCTTAAGCATGATCTTGAGCTGTATAAGAGCACATAGACTACTCCCATGGACCAAAAAAAAATATGGAACCTACCTGGACTGAGGGATTACACAGATATAACATGTAGTGTTAAAGAAAGTACTATAATTTAATATTGCAAATCTCATTCTATTGTCTAAAGAAATAATGTTTTTAATTGTTATGGTATCAGAATCAGTTAGGGGTGTGCAAAAATATCAGAATATCGATATATCGTATAATTTAATGTGATGATACAGTATCGATATCGTGGGCTACTGTATCGATATATATGTAAGAGTATTTTTACGTGTGTTTTACTAAATTTTTTTGTTACAGTGCTACAGTTTTGTGGCTTGTGGAGTGAAAGGAAACTCATTTATGCAACACATTTGACATTTTCACTGTTTTGATAATTAAAATGTTTGTGTTTCATACGAACTTTGCACAAGAAATGGTTTAACAAAAACTTTAGTATCCCAGCCATGATTTAGACTTTATTTTTTATTGAACCGTATCAAATCGATTTGAAATATATCATATCAAATCGAAAGTGCACTGTATTGAGATATGTATCGTATCGTGGCCTGTGCATCGAGGTATGTATCGTATCGGCAACTTCTTAATGATACCCAGCTCTAGAATCAGTATTGAGCGTCTAGTTTATTCATAAATATTGAAATCAAGTTTGAAATTTTAGTATCATGACACACTATAAACACTACAGTATTTGTTTATGTTGCTACGAAAGGTTACTAGTCTTTTTAGCACAAATGGAGTATTCTCTTTTGGGTCACTACGTTTTGAACTGCTGCCAAATGGCCACTGCCCGCGAGGAAGCCCTTTTGCAACTCATTTTCATGCCGGGCACAATCAGGCAACACAGAACAGACTGAAAGGGGCAGAAAAGTTGAATGAATGCCAACTATGCACACAGACACCCTCACCCCACCCACTCACCCACTCTCTCTTTCAGTGTCTGTGTCCCATTAAACAGTGTAGCAGTGTTTTGAGTTGCGTTACTACGATGCGAAGGGTGTCCACTGCTCCATCTACTCACTGTTATATTATTTTATCAGCTCCCAAGGTCGCACTGCAATCGCCCTACATTTGACCACATCAGCAGACAGATAATCAGCGAGATAAAGGAGGGGAGCATCGCCGTGCCAACCTGCGAGGGGAGGGTGGAGATGGAGCGGAGAGAGGGGGTTTATGGGTAAAGAGGAGGGGAGGGGTGGGATATAAAGTAGGCGCAACTGGACATCCTCAATCCCACGTTGTTGCTTCATCACTGGCCTCTCAGCTAGCCTGCAGACATGGCGTTTAACGGGTGCTGGAAAGTAGACCGCAGTGACAATTATGACAAGTTCATGGAGCAGATGGGTAAGTGAAGCCTATTCACACTTTAGGGCTTTGTGATAGATTGTGTCGTGTGAAGATTTGTAGGTCAAAAGATCACAAAACTTTTTACAATATTTTGTAACTTTTCTGGTGAAATCAGTGTCACCTGCTTGTCTCCATGAAGATGTTATTGTTTGGCATAGAGAGTTACACAGTGAAGCATTAAACTTACATCATTTTAAGGAGTAGATCGGTAGGTAAGGCCTATCCACACTTAAGGGTAGGAAATTGAGTTGTGCAAAGTTTTGAACAAAGTTTTATAAGTCAACAGATGTCAAAGTTTCGCTATGATCATTTTCAAAGCGGCTCTACTCTATAACTCTTCTGCACTATTCTGTTGGGATGAATACCGCCTACTCATCTCCATGGAGACGTTAGCGCTTGGCCTGGAATGTTCCAGTTTCAAAGTTCATTATGTGTTTTTACTGCTGAAAAACGTGCATTCTTACAGTAAGCGGGCACTCCTCTCCACAGATCTAACCTGTAACTTAGCCTGGTTACAGACTACTTGACTGTTTACATGAAGATAGAGAAGTTTACTGTAGAACATTCTAGGCATACCAATAGCACATCCATGGAGACAAGCAGGAGACAAACCCTCCTTTAGAAAACTGACTTGATATGAAACAATAAATAAAAACTGAAAGATTCATCCAACATTTTTTAAATACCAACATTTGATAGTAGTAGACATGTTCTCTGACCATCACTAAATAATAAAATAATTAATTCAACTAACTTTAGTACCATTAGAAAGGACCCATAGTGAGAGAGCCACTTTAGTGTGAAGGAAAGTTTAAAAATGATGACCCTTAAGTGACACTAAACACCTAAACTCTGCCTAAAACCACATTTCAAATAGAGCTGCTAAACTGGGCAGTGTTTGGAGGACTAAAGAAGAGAGTGGGGGAGAAGGAGGGCGTGGTCTGGATATATGAGGAACAGTGTGATTGATCCACACTTCCAGCTCAGCCCCTGCAGCCAGGTGTCAGAAGCACTGGTCTGCAATCAAGGCTGCCCTGCGTGATGTCACATAGTACTTGAAAGTGGAAGTGTCCATAGGAGCCAGGACACACTAATAATTTTGGATATTTTTGACCACAAAGCTGCAAATATATTATAGTGCGCTCTAAAATTGCCCAAAAAAGGACTATGAACAGTGGACAATGCAATTTAAACACCATAAACACAGTTGAGTAGCAAATAAAAGTTGGTTTAGTATTTAGTTCCACTGTTTTCACTGTCACTGTTTTTGTGTCTAAGGTATTAATGTGATGAAGCGTAAACTAGCGGAGCACGACAATCTGAAAATCACCATTGAGCAAAACGGAAACAACTTCCACATCAAGGAGTCCAGCACTTTCCGCACCAAAGACATCGACTTCACTTTGGGAGTCCAGTTCGATTACACCCTGGCGGATGGCACCGAAGTCTCCGTAAGACATTCAAACTTATTATGGCAAAAACTGGAAAAATGGAAATATTAACATTTTATTTTGTAGGGAACATGGGAGTTGGAGGGGGACAAAATGAATGGGAACTTCACCAGGAAAGACAACAACAAAGTCCTGATCACCACAAGGTCTATTGTGGGCGGAGAGCTGGTGCAGGTTAGTATTGTAAATCTCACTCTGAACATACGCTCAAACTAATTTTAAAAGAAACATCATGAGATTTTAACCATTTTATAACGATGTTCAGCTCTAACTCAGTTTATTTTGGTTCAATAGTTCACACGCTTGAGTAAGCCCTAGTGACATGCATTGAGGCTGCATTGGGTGCTCACAAAATATCAGTTTGCACCGACCCACTATCCCCACCCACGATCCAGTACTTACTTGTTCCTGCTAAAAAAGAATTCAAAAAAAAAAAAAAAAAAAAAAGGATTCCAAAATTGTTTCACAGGCATTTTTTAACAATAAAAAAAATCCTAAACGGAAATCAGTTGCTTGACTTGCCACAGAATTGATTCTTCAGATTTAAAAAGGAAGTCAATGTACCCGTTTTATTAAGTCGTTTTGGATCAATATTGCGCTTCACAATGGAGAAATTGTGAAGAAAAATGCTAAATGTATCATAGATGAGCATTAAGTTCAGTAGGATAGTGCATTAAGTAGGGTTGTCAAAGTATCAAAAATCTGATACTAATCAGTACTAATATTAGTAACAAAACGAGATATTTTTGAGCAAGTATCAATACTAAAAAAGTCACATTCACAGGAAAGAAATTAACCTTTTCTGAATATCTTTAGAATGATCTTGTGCGATATCAGAACAAGTATAAGAGACTAGACTAGTATATGCCCATGGACCACTAAGGAACCTACCTGGATGACTAATATGTGGTAAAATAAAACAAAGTACTGATTTCCTGATGATTTCCTGTTGAAAATCACATTCAACTGTCTAAAGAAAGTGTTTTTATTATCACTTTGGTATCAGAATTGGGATCGAGTCTATTCCTAAGTATCAAAAATGAGTTCCGTTACAACACTATTAAATACTTATTTTTAGGCACATAATTAATACTACTTTCTTTTTCTAGACATACAACTATGACGGTGTGGATGCCAAGAGAATCTTCAAGAAGCAGTAAAGGGAGTTTTATACTTTTATATTGTAGTTTGTGAGTTTTCTAATATTTTTACACATTAAGTTTGTAATAGCCACAGCACTACGTTTTATACCTCAAATGAATTCAACCTAGTCATGTAGACACCTTGTTCCAAATATAGACAATGAAATAATGATACTTACAGAGACTAATCAGCTTTCAAAAGGCAGAGTGGTCAGAGAGTTGTGATTAGCATAGAGATAATGGAAAGCAAGACAAAGATACTACAATACAAAGAATCTATTACAATGTCGATCTCTAACATTCCTTACATAGATGGCATAGAGGGTATTGTTAAAACTAATGCTAAAAATATGTTTACAAGTGCTAGTGCAATTCAATGCAGAAATGTTTTATTAATCTGTGTATTTTTGATAAAGATTTGATTTCAATTATGTAAGCATTATGCAACACTCAAAGTACAATGAAATGCCAAATCTTATATTCTTTTACATGTTAATCTGATTGTTAAAATGTGTTTGTTTACATATTACATTTTATTAAAAACCCAACAATAAATGACATAGACCACAGATATTTAGACCAGAACAACTATGTCTGAAAGATTGATTTTAAAAAGTTATTATAAGATTACAAGAAAAACATTGCACTAGTGATGAATGAAGTTCCTCAAGTTTATGTTGCTCCATTTCTTTTAACCAGTCGGGAAATAACATTTGCACTATATGTCGTCATGTACTTTCTAAACCTTAACAAATAAATGTATGAATTTGGATCTCTGTTCATTTCTTCAAGTTATCAAGTTCAAAGATAAACACATGTAATACTGTTCGAGCAAAATAAGCCTGTTATAGTCACATGTTAGGAGTAGTGTCTTGTGCTGTCATGTGCTTTTCCCATCTGTGAATATAAAAGGTTCAACACATTCATTCAGCAGTACGAGCTTTATTCACACGTAATGAGCAGCTTTCACCACAAGAGGGCAGTATGTATCTGCTTATTTTTTACACAGCTAATGACCAAACTTAAAGTAAGCCCGATTTTTCTATAGTGTCAGATAAAAAATGATGGGAAAGTAATTTTTGTTTAAGTTAGGGGTGTCCAAACGTTTTTCATCAGGGGCCACATATCTAAACATAGATGAAGCAGAGGGCTGATCGCTGGTCTTAGACTGATGCTCAGTACAGTGAATGATTGAAATATGTGCATGTTTAACACTTTAGAATGTGCCATCAGTCTTTACTCATGCTAAATTCCTTAAAACCACACACTAAATATTAAATATTAGTTTTATCAAGATAGATTTTCAAAAAACTTGCAGTAAAAAGTCAGTTTTTAATTGATGCAATTTAATTTCGGCTAATTCACCTGGAAGCCTGAGGGCCAAGAAAAATTTGTCTGAGGGCCGCAGCTCATAGTTTGGACATGCCTGGTTTAAGTTGTTACAAGTTTAATGACTATTTAAGTGAGTGTGAAAAATATATATTTAGTCCTGATCTGCAGAACGTAATTTAAAGTGGGCCTAAACTCTGAATGAATGAGGTATATTTGCACCTTTGAGGTAAAAAAAACATTGAAATGGGTGTTTGGCCACTGTAATTTCATGTACTAGGTGACATTACACAAGACTGTCCTGAGCCAGTTGTTTCTGTTTACTAACACCTGGCTGAGGGGGCAGAGCTTGAATTGTGGATACCTGTTAGACCAATCACAATGCTCCTGATATGATCATACCCCGCCCCTCCTACCTCCTCAGTCTCATTTCTCCAGGTACTACCCATGTGGTTGTGGATGGGGTTTAGATTTTTAGTTTCACTATAAACTTATTTTGTTAACAAAAGAGCATTCACTATAATTGTATTAACAAATTCAGTATCATTGAGTGTAAAGCCTTCTCCTTAATATGGAAATAGTTACTATCAGAATAGAACTAGTGAAATAGGGATAGGACATTTGGCGTCAGATCATGTTTTCAATATTATCAAACTTCTTTATATTGGATTTAAGTGGTAAATAAAACCATCTGTTTGGTTTGAGCGCTTATAATTCATTATGATTGGTTTATTCCATCTGTCAGTCACTTGGCGCTTTAGGGCTAGCTTTCACTGTGTCTGATCTGATATCACCAAAATAGCAAATTGTCACATGGATGAGATCACAATTCAGTTTTTATCACTATATCATCTGCAAGTGGATATAGACAAACAAAACGTGTATCTTTCTTAAAAATACTGCCTGAAGCGTTTCCATAAAATCCAATCCATTACAGCTATTATAATGTGTGAAGTAAGCTATAGCAGGGCACCACAAGGGCCAATGCCAATCAATGAGCGCCCCCTGCTGGGCTCCTGAGTGGCACCCCTTTCAAAGGAGTATAAGACGCTGTACAGGGCTAATCTGGTACAGACAGGCTGCTTTGAACACAGGCCCACAGACAGGAGCAGGGTTGTCCTCTGAGACTGAGCCTGGAGCATGCAGAATCAGCTGCACACAATTGGACAGTCTTCTGATTGTAGCTACATGTGTGTTTTTAAAGGTCTTATATTACACAAAATGGACTATTGTGAGCTTTAAGCCATGTTATAATGCTGTTGCCTCATCAAAAACAGACCTGGAGTTGTTTCGTCTCATTCACACATGTCTGAGTAACCCTGTATGTAATCTCTGTCTACATCTTAAAAGCTCAAAATGCTTGTGATGTAGTGATGTGGTAGTTTTCAAGTTAACAGCTCCTTTTACCTTTTGTTCAGAAGAGACTGGCAATTCCAGAGCTCAAATTATCCAAATGATTCTAGTGAAGGCATATGAAGTTTAAAAACACAGTGGAACAAGGTGGAACAGAGTGTTTTCTGTTTCTGTTCTGTAAATATGCAGGGCTTGTGCTTTAAAAATGTGTGAATGATATAAAACAACTCCTGGTATGTTTGTAATGAGGAAACATTATAACATAGATCAGAAAATAGCATGATCTGTGACCTTTAAAGGGTAAGCAAAGGGCTTATTTACTGCATGACAGTAAAATACATGCTGTGCCTTATGTAAACAGCTAATGACAAATTACGAGCTGAGATATAGTGGGAGTTTTGTGAAAGCAAAACAACAATATCTATATAAGTAGTAAGGGGTTGGGTTGTCAAAAGTATCAAAAATCAGATACTAATCGATACTAAAACTAGTATCAAAACTCATTTGAGTAGGTTTTGATACTAAAAAGTCACATTCACAGGACAGAAATGAACAGCTTTAGAATAATTTTGAGCTGTACCAGAACAAGTATAACATCATATAGACTAGTATACAGCCATGCCCCACTATGGAACATAGTTGGACAACTGACGGAATACATAGATGGTATGTATATCACCACATGGTAATATAAAAGAAAGTAATACAATTTCATGTTGAAAATTACATCATATTGTCTAAATGAAAAGGATGTTGACAAATATACATGGTGGCAAGATTAATCACAAATGGAGAAAATGCTATTTAAATGGTCTATATTATGAAAATCCACTGCAAAATCTTGTTATTTTGTATAAATTCCAGTTAGTAGTTTATACATCTATAGACATACTCTAAAATGCATGCTTTTTGAAGTGAATATTTCTGAAGGGGGTGAAATATGTGAACGGTAAATTGAATCTTAATCCAAAGTTTACTAAATATTGTTTAGCCCTATTCTTGTCTTGTTGACTCCACCCAAAAAATAATATATTATTATAAGTCTATTTAAATGTAGTAATATATTCCTTTTAATATTTTAGTTGTATTTAGTGAGTGATGTAAACACTTAGACAGACACAGGCTCGATATGAGGACAGATGAAATAATGTCTGTTCAAATCAGGACTTGTCATATAAACTGAGCTCATAATTGCAGTGTGTCTTTACAACCATCGAGTGGTGCTGCTGAGCTCCTCCTTTTTACAGTAAAGCTCCAAGTCATTGCATGATGTCATCCCTGTGCCAAATTATCACATGGTACTCACACTTACACCTCATCTGACCAAGACCATCCAAATGCCAATACAATCACTGCGCCTCCTCTTAAACTGCTAAAACAATATCTCCTGTTACTTCAGTGAGAACCAGCGAGGTACACAGGGAGTTAAGCCTTCTGGAGTGTTTTGATTGCTGAGAGACTGAGAAGGCAGGGGCCCACCCAAGGGAGAGGGGCAGTAAAACATCGAAGTGGACAAAAGAACAAGAGAGGAGACAGGGAAAGAAGAAAGAAGTCACCCACCTTTACTCCTCCTCCTCCTCTACCTCCTCCTCCTCTTCCAATGACTCAAATGCTGAGGTCATGGGCCCATCTGAAACTGGAACGACATGAAAAGCATCAGAGGATTTTGGGAAGCAGCAGTTAACATGTTAGCATAGTCATCTCATAAAAAATGACAGATCAGCAGAGACAAGTGACTAATACAGTAAAGCTATTATTCACTGCTTAATGCTGTACAATGGCATATCGAGCTGTGACTCAAGAATTGTGTTATAATGAATATCTAGCCTTTTATACTAATATTGTCAGAATAATAACATTTCAGACTTGATTTCGATGTTAAGGAATAGACGTGATTCTGATACTGATGGAGATACCACAGTGATAATAAAAAACATTTTAATCCTGTGGTCTTGTTAGCGTGATCTGGTTTTCAAAATCAGAAACTGTGACACTCCCGGTTTGGAGTGGTTGGTAATAATAAAATTGTGAAAGGAGCGTGTAATTAAGGAAAATTGTTCTGCACTCAGCCCATGTGAGTCAATATAATCACATTTTCTTTGTGTTTTGGTCATTTTTAAGCAGCTTTTCTGTACTTTACCTAAACAAATGACAATGTATGCCTCTCTTTCTTTACTGTTGCAGGTATCAAATTTGCCAAAAATAGGGACAACTGGGACATTTGTTGTATAAAACTGGGACAAATCTATGGTTTTTGGATAAATCTTCTGGGACAGGGGACACAGGGCTCAAAACTGGGACTGCCCTGGGTAAATAATGGCATCTGGTCACCCTGTTTAATCCCTCAGTCATATAGGCATGTTCCATAGTGGTTCATACTATACTAGTCTATGTTGATTCTGTCCTGTGAACGTGACTTTTTTTGTATAGGTACTTTTTTTCAAATGAGTATCTGGTTTTGATTGATAGTTATGTGATTTTT